AAAAAAAAAGAGCCGAAACCAACGCTCTAGGGCCTCACACCACTCCTCACCACATGCACTAAAGACAAAGCGGTGCATCTTTCCATCTTTTTCAAGAAGATTCATTTTAGCAAGTGGTGGAGCGAGGCCCTAGCTCAACTGGTACACCAAACACTATTGAAATACGGATGGCCCAGATTGCACGTGGGCCAAATTCTGATCTGCCCGCAACCTGTGCGACCTACCTGTGTTACGCCAGCTACCTGGCCGACGTGACGGGTACGTCCTACCTGCTCTGCTGTCGACCTATGCAACCTACCGTGGCCAGCAACCTGCCTGCATGGCTTGATCTACCTGCCCTACACGACCTAGCTACTGTGGCACGAAACGCTACCGAAGCACTAGCCAGGCATCTCTCTCTCTCTCTCTCTCTCTCTCTCTCTCTCTCTCTCTCTCTCTCTCTCTCTCCCTCCGCCCAACTTCCTTCCTCCCTCTACCCGACCTCCGCCCAACCTCCACGAACTCCTCTATCTCTCCACCTGAACTCTGCCTGACCTTCTTTTCCCTGCCTTCCCCCCTTCCTGATCCCTCCGTTCAACCGCCAGCCGACCTCCTTTTCCCCTCCCCCCTTCCTCCTCCCTCGACGTCCTGCGGACTTTCGCCCGACCACCTTCTCCCGCCCTTCCTTCCTAAGGTCAACGGCCATGAGATATCATCAACGGACTGGCCCCAGGTAATGAATTTATTATGTTCATCTGACAGATCCAGATTCAAACTTGGGTTTGTATTTCAACAGTTAATGCGTGTACCGACTGAGCGGGCATGTTGCTACTCGGCCTCTTTCAATCCTTCTCTCCATCCCTCCATTCACTGGACCGCTGTCTAATGCCGTCCAACCTCCTTCACAGTTCCTTCCTCCCTCCACTCGACTGCTTCCCTCCCATCTTCATCCCTCCTTCCCCTCCCTCCGCCAGAACTCCGCCTGGCTTGCGCCCGATCTCCTCCATGTCTGCTCCCCTGCCTTTCCTCCCTCCAATTACCACCTTCGTCTGTCCAGCTGACCTCTACCAGACGTTCATCGCGGCTCCTTACTCCCTCCGCTTGGTCTCCACTGGATCTCACCTGTGCGTGCCCTCAGCCTCCTCCCTCGGACCTTCCTCCCTCCATCCCACATTTTCCCTACCTCCATCCCACTTTTGCCCGACTGCTTCCTACCACCTCCTCCCTCCTCTCTCCCTCCTCCCTCTCTCCTCCTTGCCGCATCTGCCCGCCCAACTTCCGCGACCTCCTCCCACTCTCCGCATGACCTCTGCACGACCACCTTGCCCCTTTCTTCCTTCCTTCTTCCTCCCTCCTGCATCTATCCGCCCGACCTTTCCCCCCACCTTTCCCTAATCCTTCCCCCCTTCCTTCAATCGTCCTTCCTCCCTCCGCTTGATCTCCGCCCTCCAGCCCCCTGATCCCTTCTCTCTCCCACTTTCCGAGCTCTGTGACCTCCTCCCCCTGACTGCAGACGTCTGTCCGACCTCCTTTCTCCCTCTGCTTGACCTCTGCAACCTCCTCCCTCCCTCCGCCGGATCCTCGGCGGAGTTCATCCGCTCCTTCCTCCCTCCTCCACCCGCGGGCTCCTCCCTCCCTCCTTTCCACCTCCGTGGCCTCCTCCTTCCCTCCACCTGATCTCTGTCCAGCGGCTCGAGCCTCACCTCCACTCGACCTGTGCTCTCACTCCGCCATACCCATTCTTCCTCCCTGCGCGACCTCCTCCCTCCACCCGCTTGATTTGTGCGAGACCTCCGCCCTCCCTCAATTCGACCTTCGCTCAATGTCTTCCCTCCCACCGCCCAACCTCCACATGACCTTCACCCTTTCTGTCTGCTGGAGCTCTTCCGTCCATACTTCCTCCCTCCTACCTCCGTCCGCCTGACCTCTTCTCTCACTCTGCCCGACCTTCACCCAACCTCCTGCATCCTCTCCTCCAACTGGCCTCTGTCCTTCTTCCCTCCAACGTACCTCCTCACGCCTCCCGACCTCCTTCGAACCTCTGCGACCCAGGCAGGTGGTCCTCAATTCAGAGAGAGAGAGCACACTTGCCAAACATCACTGGTCACTGGCATTAAAAAAAAAA